GCACCCTGTGGTACGTGTATCGTACCCCTGTACTACGCAAGGTTTCATTTTCTTATCTGGTCGGACTGCCTTTATTTATCGCTTTAGTTTAGCTTTGTTTTCCCCGTGTGTTTGACTCGGACTCGGCAGACCTTAGTTCACTTTGCCCTTGCGCGTGTATGACACATGTTCGCGCCTGGCGCTGCCTGGTTTCTGGATTCTTTTTTTGCGATTTGTCGTGTGGTTGCGGTATTCGTCGTGCTGCAGACATCAGCCGGGGCCATTACAAAGAATTTCCACCACATCTTCGCTTTCACACTCACGAATAACCCATCGGGGCTGCCGTCGGTCATTCTCTCCCGCACTTGACGACAGAGAAATAACTGTGATTCACGCTTCCCCGACTACCCGACAAGGCGTAGCCGATCCTCATCTGACGCCAATGGCTCGATGGTCACGGCCGACGGCCACCTGTCATTTTCCCGACTCGGTACCCATGCCAACGCCATGTCAAGAACGAGGAAAAATGTTGCTTCTTTCCTTGATCAACATCACCGCGAACAGCAATAACATCATCCTCGATCCCGATCGATAGATAGGAAAGGGCTTTAGATGAGGCCGGGGCTACCCCCGGGCTCTTATTTAAGAGAAAATTCTGAAGCCTATTTGCTTCAGTTTTCTGTTGCGGAAATTCTCAGACCTATTCGATTTTGACCCCACCAAAAGTGACCCCACTCCCTTTTTTTCACTTGGTTTTAGCGAATGTTACTCGGCGGACCTTAGTCCACTTTGCCCTCTCGCGCATAACTCGTCTTGGCGTATGGCCCTGCCTGGTTTCTTGTTTCTTTTGCGTTTTGCCATTTGTTTGCGGTATTCGTTGCGCTGCAGACATATGCCGGGACCATCACAAAGAAATTCCGCCACATCTGTCTTCGCTTTCACACTAATAACCCATCGGGGCTGCCCTCGGTCATTCCCTCCCGTACGTACTTGACGACTGTGGTTCACGCTTCCCCGTCTACCCGGCAAAGCGTAGCCTTGCCGATCCTCATCTGACGCCAATGGCTACCATGGTCATGGCCGACGGCCACCTGTCGTTTTTCTTACTCGGTACCCATGCCAACGCCATGTCAAGAACGAGGAAAAATGTTGCTTGTTCCCTTCGTTCAACTCCTTCTTCGTCACCCCGAACAACAGCAACATCATTCTCGACCCCCACAATGACAGATGGATAGATATATCCTCCCTGGCCAATAAAAGGAACGGTGACCGGGGCTACCCCCGGGCTGTTATTTAAGAGAAATATTGCCATACTTTCGCGATTTTCTCTTAAACCGAACCTCTACAAAGAGCCACGTAACCGTCACACACACAGCTTGCAGACGGCACGCCCTGGGCAGCAGGCAGACGCTGCACAGCGGTCCCCGATCACACCCTAGGCCCACCAAATTTCACAAGACACCGTTCGTAGAGCGAAAGAACGAACGTGCAACGAAATATATCATCACACGACATCATTCATTATACATTTCCGACACAGGTATCAGGAGTGTACCCAGTGCTTGCGGTGGGTACACTGCTCCAAGCGAGGACCAAGAAACATAATTTGTTGGCAGCGCGTGGATCTAGCCCAAGATGCTATAATAGCTGGCGTGATGTAACATGATGGGTTACATGCCCTCAAAAAAATCCTTTGGTTGGTTGAAACGGGAGCGTCCATATTCCATGACCTTTAAAATGCTACGGTTTACGAGAATACTCTCCTAAAACACGTGCACGGTTCAAGAGAATATTCTGGTAAATCGTACCTAACACGGTACTAGATAAAGCACGATTCAAGAGAAAAATAGGGGATAGTCACCATCCCCTCTTCAACTGTAGCCGCTACTGTACCGGAGGCTCCCGTGTCCGGTGCGTACTGCCGGAATATGCAAGTAATTTTGTATTTTTGCCGCAAGAGTACCGTCTGGCCACCGAGGTTTTGGTCAAACGCGGCCACTAAGGTTTACACGTGGGGTCTGCACACCGGGCTGTTTTACCAGGTGGTGCGGAATCGTGGGTGAGAGAGTCGTACGTGAGTTGTTTGCTGGGTGAGTTGTTTGCTCGGTGCCATGCAGCCAAATACCATTTTTTCTCCTTGGCAGTGGCAAAATCCGTGGCGGCAATGTCGTGTTTTTCTGGATCATCACGTTGTGCGTGTTGAAACAAGGGAGATATATTTGTAAGGCTGTTTCCTACATACCTGACGTCCTTTCCCAAAAAACATCACTTTTCAGGATGGACAAAAATCCGGCTGGAAAAAATCCGGCCGTTCTTACAACGAACCGGATTCTCTGGCGGATTCTTCGGGCTGGGTGTAGATCGAACCCAGACGACATGATTGGCGAGTGCGATTTGAGTTCTTGACGCATCACTCCCATCAAGGGCTCCGCGCAACCCTACGCTGAAGGGTTTGCTATTCTGCCCGCTGGCTGTTGATGGTCGCTCGGCACGCGTGCGTAAAAAAACATATCGCATCGCACCAAGCGTGGAAACGCCGAAACAGGCCGAACCGCGACTAGACAGCAAATGGAGCCACTTTTTGTCAGGGAGGGGAGGACACTGATTTCTCGCTCCCTAGGCCAACGATCGAAGCCAGACCGGTCAGGGCGTGCTCTCTGTTCCTTGCTCTCTGCCGGAGTATATTTGCTCGGCAGTGCGGAGTCTCGATCGACGGAGGGAAGCATGCGCGTGGTGCCCGTTAGTTGTTCGAACTGTGATTTGATGTTGTGCACGCCCTGACCGGTCTGGCTTCGATATTGGCCTAGGGAGCGAGAAATCAGTTGCGGTGTTTTCCCCTCTCTGGCAAAAAACAACTTTTTTTGCCGTCTCGTGGCGGTTTGGCCCGTTTCGGCGTCTCCATGCTTGGTGTGATGCGATATGTTGTTTTTACGCACGCGTGCCGAGCGACCATCAACAGCCAGCGTGCAGAATATGCAAGCCCTTCAGCGTAGGGTTGCTCGGAGCCCTTAATGGGAGCGATACGTCAAGAACTCAGGTCACACTCGCCGATTATGTCGCCTGGGTTCACCAGCGGTGAAATTTTTGGAAAACGAAATCCGGTTGGGCACCACCCCGATTTCTGCCAAACTTTTCGGGTGGAGGCAACCCAATAAGCTGAACCCGGACTTTGTCGACCCAAAAAAGTGAATAATCCGGCTGTGTGAGAAGCCGGATTTCTGCTCATCCTGAAAAGTGAAGCTTTTTGGGAAAGGAATCCATGTGTATAAGAATCAGCCTAAGGCTGAGTCTTGCGCATTGATTTTTCGTTTTTTTTTTTGGGGGGGGGTCCTTTTCTTAGCCCAAAAACTATCGGTGGACATCTTACGCGGAGGATAATGGCAAATCCCTAGAGCCCAAATTCCTACTGGCCGAAGGTTTCCTAGGATTCCAGCTGGCGAGCTAGAACATAGGCCCATTCTAAGTTGGATCGACTGATATTTTCCAGGTTAGAAATGGGGGTGGTCACACCCCGATCGTGCCAGAACGATGAGCTACACCGTCGGCTGGCCAAACAGAGGCCAGCATCATGAGGTCCTGCACAAACCCTCTGCAGGTATTTGAAATTCAGGGCGTTCTGCGTCGTGTTGGCCGCACACGAGCCGAAAACGTCTACTTTGCCACATACATCTGATGATGTTTTTGCCTGTCGGCCGAAAAGAGCCGTTGTTGTACCTGCTGCATGTGTGACCAGTCAAAAACGCACGCAAGAGAGAGGCTTTAAACCGTCGACATCCACCAACTGCAGCCAATGGCTTGTAGTCATACACATTCCCTCCGCTCGCGTCCCAGAAACAGAGCGTATCGTCCAGTTTTGATTGCACACGGCCTTCATGCATGAACCAAATTGTGTCCCGGTGTTTACTTTTTGAACGTTGTCTTTTTTTCTGATTGCTCCGAGTGTGATCAGTCCACAATGCATGCCAGAGAGAGGCCTTTGGCCGACGACGTCCACAGATTGTAGCCGATGGCGTGCGATCATACACCTGCCCTCTGGAGGCGACCCAAAAGGCGCTCGGTGTCTTGTTGGTCGCACACGAGCCAAACACGTGAATTGAAGCATGTTGCGAACCACAAAACAACTTGAATCGGCCCTTGTTACCCTGAAAAAAATATGTGCCTCAAGGAACCGTAATAATGTCGCTTGGATCTGGATAACTTCAGACCCCCCCCCCCCCCGAGAGAAAGAAAAAAAATCCGAAAATTCAGTGCTTAGAGTCGGCCTAAGCGTTCTTTCCGTCTTTTCTTTATTTCTTCGAAGTTTATTTTCTACATGTGACGCACGAATCCATCTCTGTCTATTGAATTGAGCCTACGATAGATTTGCAATGAATTCATGGCGTTAGCAGAAACTGCCTGCATTTCTACGGTTTCCCGAGCAGCGCACAGCGACATCTCCCCTGTGGGCTAGCTCGTTTGTTGACAGTCTGGTAGCCGTCCTGTTTGCACCCTTGAAAAATACACAGCAGTTAGATGTTTGGCACGTACGTATACGTATGCACACGGTGAAACGTTTTCTTGTATATGTCGAGGCGGACCGACAACACCTAACGATTGACTCTACTGCTCATCTGTGTTCATCAGCTCGCGTGGCTACGCTTTCGCGCCGCCTGAGTTTCTGCTCCGTAGAGCGCAGCGTCCCTATGTGTTTACTGACGGGTCACAGCTGATCCGCGTTTGTGAGACTGCTGTGTAGTCTACATATTGTAAAAAAAAAAATAGGTTCGAGGTTCGCTGGGCGGTTCGAGTCAAAAAGGCGTCAGCTGTGTTGATTGTTGAGCTTGGGAAACGTCACACCGAAGCTGGCAGTCAGCTATGGTTTGCTCCTGCTGCCTGCTTTTGTTGTCATCCTCATCACTCCTTGATGACACATGCTCCTTTGTGCCCACTCCGGAGGGATCACTTGTATGGCCTTGTGTCTTGGTCACATCAGAGGGCACTAACTTTGTCGGTACTGGAGCTGAGAGTGACCATCATTGCCAATGTACATTGCTTCCCTTGTCCTTTTTTGCCTAATTTTCCTAATTGCTGCTGTAAGACGGCTTGTCTGTGGCTGCCGACATGTTGAATTGGAATTATCCAAGCCGTTCCGGCAGTGACATTGTTGATCCGGTCTCTGCTAGCTTGTGCGTGTGTTCACCCCACGGTTGTGACTGTCAATACGTGTCACGCCTCCCATCGCTCTTATCGCTCGAAGGTTCATCCCACCCTTGTCCCTTGAACTCGCTTGTCTTTTGTTCTTCCTCATGTCTTTTGGTGCTTGCCCCCCGCAACGTGTGCGTCCATGCGTGCTTCGTAGTCGAAACACGCGTTCAATGGAGCACTTTACTTGCGCGTGGTGCAACTCCTTGAAAGGGCTGAGCGCAGCGAGTCCGTCTTGGCGGTAGTAATCACGGGGTCAGGGGGGTACTTCACAAGCGGTGCCGATATTAAGGAGCTCCAACGACAGTGTGAGTGCTGAAAACAATCATGCGAAATGGCGTCGAAAGTCCCTTGCCCACCCTGAGCCGCTGTTTCCCGCTCGAATTCCCCGCAAGGGCATTCGGCGATATATGTTCTGAGGAGCAGCTTTCGCTTACGTATTGTTTCATTGCTGCAACCTCTGGTCGGGGCTTGATTTCGGGCGGCCTTCCAGGAAGCCTTCTGGTCGAACCAACATTCTGGAGCTCTTGCCCCGTCCCAACTCCCCTCCTCCCAGCTGGGCCGACTCATACACAACACGATCACTCCCGCGCGTACTTTGCTTCCAGTGGCTTTTTGAACGCCGCGGCGGTGTTGCAGCCGTTCAAAGTTATGTCGGGTGGGTCTTTGTTGGACCCTCAAGTCCCCGTTGATAGATGGCTTCAGCTAGTGACCTGAGTTAACGTACCCTCCTTCCCCGGCTGTGTGTTTTGGTATGCCTCGTTTTCCCCCAGCGATTTCGCCTGTACCGATGATTCAGCAGCCATTCGGGGTTTTCGGGAGCGCAGTCTTGCGTTTTCCGAAGCTCCTCGTGGCCGCCGTCAACGGGCCAGCCGTTGGAGTCGGCGTAACGCTCCTTCCACACTGTGACTTAGTCTACGCCTACGGGGGGCCACCACGTACCACCTCGAACGCTTCCAGGGAGGGGGGTGTTGGGGGACGGCGGCGCTGCGGCATTCCTGCGGCGAGGGAGGAGCGAGGTGTGGGGGTGAAGGAAAGCGCAACTCTTTGGACGCCCTTCTTTCGACTCGCCATCGTGCCGGAGTTTTGCTCCAGCCTCACTTTTCCGGAGACTTTGGTGAGAATGTTTTTGAAATTTTTCAATCGGCTTGAATCGGTGCGGCCTACGCCTACGGTAATTGCACTGTGATGCGCGCTCCCGAACATCGAATCGACCCCTCCCCTCTTTCCCCCCCTGGTGTTTGCCATCGGGGTTGGGTTTTCGTCGCTAGGCAACGACGTTGTAAAACAAGCCGCCCCCCCCGGTGTTTGCGCCCCCTCCGGTGTTTACCATCGGGGTTGGGTTTTCGTCGCTTGGCAACGACGTTGTAAAACAAGCCGCCCCCCACCCCGGTGATTGCCATCGGGGTTGGGTTTTCGTCGCTTGGCAACGACGTTGTAAAACAAGCCGCCCCCCCCGGTGTTTGCCATCGGGATTGGGTTTTCGTCGCTTGGCAACGACGTTGTAAAACAAGCCAATTCACTTCGTGAACTCGGCAACCAGGTTACCGTTTTTTTTTTT